TGAGAACACATCTGCCTTCTTCTTGATAGGATAAATCCAACATCTCCTGGAGTAGTCATCAATAAAGGATACAAAATACTTTGCTCCTCCTAAGGATGTAACCAGTGCTTGTCATACATCAGAATGAAGCAGTTCTAGAATAGATTTGCTTCTAGAATTTAATGTGTTGAACTTCAGCCGATGCTGCTTACTTGTAACACAATGATCACAAAATGGAAGAGCTACCGAATTAAGTCCAGGAAGTAGCTTCTGATCAAAGAGAATCTTCAAGCCTCGTTCTGATATGTGGCCTAGTTTACGATGACACATCATGGTTTGTTCTTCTCCACAGCTGGTTGATGCCACACAAGAATCAACTTCTTGCAGGGTTTTTCCCTTGAGTATATATAGATTTGCAGCTATCTTTTCTTCTTTTATTACCACAAGCGTCCCTCTAACAATCTTCATGATCCTATTTTCTATATGGGTCTTGCACCCGAGCTCATCTAATTGTTCCAAAAATAATAGATTCTTCTTCAAGCCCTTCACATGTCGCACATCTTGAATGGTGCATATTGTACCATCAAACATTTTAATTTTGATAGTGTTAATACCAGAAATCTCCAAGGCATGATCATTCCCCATGAATACAGATCATCCAGAGATAGGTTCATATTTATGAAACCATTCTCTCTGAGAGGTCATGTGCTAGGAGGCTACTGAATCCAGAAGTCAGACATCAGTAAACCTCTTTCTTCCTTCATCAACAGTGGTTGTTCAACTGAATAGAATTTCACTATCGTCTGATGTGCTGACAACGCATCCTTGAGATGCTGATGGCTCTGAAGACTTTTTATCTCTACTCTTCTTATTATGCCAACACTCTGATTTGACGTGCCCTTGTAGGATATAAAAATCACCTTGATTATAGTAGGGCCTAAAAAATTTGCATGTACACTTGACTTGCCCGCACGAGTCAAGTCCGCTCAAGAGTTAAGTTCACCAAAGGAAGGAAGCTCGCTCGCGGGCTTGACTCGCCAGCACGAATCAAGACCACGCAATCGCTAAACTTGCCTACACGTCTGGGCAATCCGCCAGACGAGGGGAAACTCATTTGCACACTTGATTCGCCTGCACAAGTCAAATCTACCCAAGAACTGAGCCCGCCTGCATGGTCATGCGATCAACAAGTTCGCCAGACTCGTCAGAGTACTGGGCAGCTGAAATATCACGTACAGTGATGGGCCTTTCCATTTTCTATGACGTGAAGGGAAGGAGTAAAGTACTCCGAGCCCATCATGTAGCCGCTCACAGTACAAGTGGTCAGTCAAATCCGCGCAGTCGCCAAACCCGCCTGAATACTTGACTCGCTCGCACAAGTTAAGTTCGTTTAGTCGCCAAGTTCGCCTGCATACTTGATTCGCCTGCACGAATCAAGTTCGTCCAAGTGGCTCAGAGTCGCTTGCATGGCTAGACGATTAGCAAACTCGCTAAATTCACCAGAGTACCTGGTGGTTGTATTGCCACGTACAGGGATGGGCCCATTTTTCGTGACGTGAAGGGAAGAAGCACAGTACTCCGAACCCATCAAGCAGCCGCTCACAGTACAAGTGAGAGGCATGGTATCTCTCAACAGTATATGGTCACATCTCATGATTCAAGGGAGCGACCACGCTATCTCTCCCCTATTTAAGGGCCTCTCCTAGCTACAGGAAAGAGGTTCATAGTTTATTGATTGATTCAATCAGTTAGTTGAACCGTTAGCTCTCAACTCCCAATGGAGTTGACGACTGACTCTTTGCATTGATCTTGCACTGTACCGTCTCCCTCTAGCTTTCGGCCTTGATCGCTATTGAGCTCGGAGGTCCAAACTCGATCAAATGTGAGCTTCTACTGTGTACTGAAGCTCACTTGTAACCTCGATCGGATCATCCAAGGGAAGTAAACTCGGTGCGAGAATTGAGTGAGATGTCCTATCGCTACCAAAGACCCCATGTTAAACAAGGAGGACATTCTCTCCGCTTCTGTTGTAACTTTGATTCATTAGTTTGTAATAAGCTATTCTTATCAATACAAACGAGATCTCTATTTCGGAAAATCAAATTTTACACGTACATCCCTCTTTTGCCATAGTTGAAGCATTTGACATTCTTCTTACTTCGTGATTTTGATCTACCATGGGTATGACTCCCACTGGAGCCACGTTCCGTTGATCTTCCTTTCGTCATCGATAAAGCCTCCGCTTGTTGCGAACTTGCCTACCTGTCTTCCTTGTTCTTGCACTGATTTTTTCTTCCTTCAGAACAGTAGCTACAACATCGTTGAAGACTAAATTGTCCTTAAGGACGTTGTTTGTCAGGTTGATGATGAGTTGATCATACGAGTCAGGTAGACTCTAAAGTAGAAGTTTTGCACGTTCATTCGTACCAACTGTATACCCCAACGTTGTGAGTTGGGAGAACAATGTGTTTAGAGTGTTGATGTGATCGGTCATCGATGTAGATTCCATCATCCTAAGAGTGTAAAGTCTTCTTTTTAAGAAAATTTTATTGTGCATGGATTTCGCCTCATATAGCTTTGTTAGAGTATCACAGATCTCCTTTGCTGTTTTCTTCTCCTCTATGCTTAACAGCACCCCGTTTGTTAATACCAGATGGAGATTTGCAATAGCATTTTTATCCATCTTGTTTCCTTTTTTATCATCTGTGATGTCGTCCGGCCTTGCACCGATGACCGCCAAGCAATTATCATTTCTCAAGTTAGCCTTTATCTTCAACTTCCACAGTGGAAAATTACGCCCGTCGAATTTCTCAATCTTGAACTTTGTCGCCATTACTTCTACCACGAACAGTAACTTCTTACTATTTCACGTAAATATTAACTGTATTTATGAACAATAACCGTATCCGTGAATAGTGTTGTACTTGTGAATAATACCATATTTTTAAACAGTACTGTACTCGTGAATAGTACCCGTCACCTTCAAAGGGTAAATGATAACCTAACTTATTTTTTGATGTGGATGATCTACCTTTGATGGCAGCCACAGAGCATATGATAAGTAGATATATACAAGCACCCTAAGTTGGCTCTGATACCACTTGTTAGGACAAACCCGGGGCCTAATAGAACAGGGTCGCAACAAATAGTAGAGCAAAAATAGAGATAAAATGATAGACACATAGATTTACACGATTCGGTACAAAATTACCTACGTCCACGGGCAAGGATAGAAGAATCCACTATGAGGAGAAAACTCTGGAGTTACAATCTCTCTTTACAAGGAGATACTCTCTCTCTATTTTTTTTTCTCTCTCACTCTTCTATATAAGGAGTTGTTTCTGGGATGAGTTTTTCCTTAAGGATTTGGAGTCTATTTATAGTTTTTGGAAAAACACTATGCATAATAAAATAATAATATTTTACTATGCTGTGAGCCCCGCCCTTTTTGTTTTCTTTTTCATTTGTCAAAAGTTTTGGCTAGGCTTGGCTTTATTAGGCACCTGTTGCTGACATATAGATCCTATGGTTTAATTGAAGAGGATGATAAAAAAATCTACCACAAACTTAGATTAAAAATGTTTCAAAAAATTCTGTACGATATGGATTAAATTGTGTGTACTTTGAATGCACCAGCATATAATATATGAGAAATGATAGAGGCACACTCTCCACCACACCTCCCCTCCTGCTATAGTGCATCGAAATGATAACCTAACTTATTTTTTGATGTGGATGATCTACCTTTGATGGCAGCCACAGAGCATATGATAAGTAGATATATACAAGCACCCTAAGTTGGCTCTGATACCACTTGTTAGGACAAACCCGGGGCCTAATAGAACAGGGTCGCAACAAATAGTAGAGCAAAAATAGAGATAAAATGATAGACACATAGATTTACACGATTCGGTACAAAATTACCTACGTCCACGGGCAAGGATAGAAGAATCCACTATGAGGAGAAAACTCTGGAGTTACAATCTCTCTTTACAAGGAGATACTCTCTCTCTATTTTTTTTTCTCTCTCACTCTTCTATATAAGGAGTTGTTTCTGGGATGAGTTTTTCCTTAAGGATTTGGAGTCTATTTATAGTTTTTGGAAAAACACTATGCATAATAAAATAATAATATTTTACTATGCTGTGAGCCCCGCCCTTTTTGTTTTCTTTTTCATTTGTCAAAAGTTTTGGCTAGGCTTGGCTTTATTAGGCACCTGTTGCTGACATATAGATCCTATGGTTTAATTGAAGAGGATGATAAAAAAATCTACCACAAACTTAGATTAAAAATGTTTCAAAAAATTCTGTACGATATGGATTAAATTGTGTGTACTTTGAATGCACCAGCATATAATATATGAGAAATGATAGAGGCACACTCTCCACCACACCTCCCCTCCTGCTATAGTGCATCGGGGCCCACTTGAGATTTAAAATTTAAATCTCAAGTGGCCCCCGGTGTACTGTAGCAGAAGGGGAGGTGTGGTTGGAGGTATGGTGGAGAGTGTGCCTCTAGTGCCTCCCATAATATATAGCACTGCAATGTACTACTTGTTATCCCAACTTAAACTACATAATTTATCTAGATACATATCTCACTTTCAAAAAATTATCTTCTATCATCCCAGTAAACTGTTCCACTATGAAAAAATTATCCCAATTTGAATAATTATTCCACATTAAAAGTTTCCCCTGACTACTCTTACTAATTTTGTTGGACTTTTTGTAAGCATTGAAATCGAAAATCAGAAGTTCTCACTTTAGTACTTCCGCATGTTTTCCTCATGCAATTACTAAAGTGGTAAGGTCTATTATGCTAAAACCTTAACCCCTCATTAAAAAAGATTTTTGTTCTGCCGTATACGCTATTTTCTCATATATCTGACCTGTGCGATGATTGTGACATGAACCGGGTTTGAATATAACATGTTATTTTCACCCGAATCCGAACTACACCCCTTCGCACTTATAAATATAAAACTTCAGCTATTCGCATAATACAAAGCGAGTTCAGAGGAAACCTCCCTCCCCCTCCTCATGGAATCTAGCCTTCTTCTCCATCATGGAGGCCTCAACCCTCTCTCAGCAGCAAGGAAACACACGCAGAACTTCGTTGCAGGGCTTCAGAGGCCCACCCGCAGCCCGAAAGTGATATATCCTTATCGGGTTTCTGCAGTCACCACAAAACCCGTTAGCCCGACGGAAGAGAAGAAGACGGTGTACAGTGATAACTGGTTTGATCGTCTCGCCATTCGTCACCTCTCTCAAAGTGTTCAAGCCGCAACGGGTTCGGATCAATAGTCTAAGCTTAATTAATTGTTATTAGTATCGTTTGGTTAATTGCGCATAGCCCCCTCTTAGCATATGTATATCACAGCTAGATATGTACCCCTACGAGAGCGAAATTTTTTGACCCTTTCATTTCAACGGATGCAATGGATGTATCCATCTATTTGCCAAAAACAGAAACAAGCAATATCTCATGTAAAAAGGTCAAGAAAAACAGAAATAAGCTAGATATAACCCAATACTAGATAGGGTATGTGGCAATGAACCCTTTTACTGTTGCCTAGGTAATTATACTACTAATTATGTTAATTTTTAATTTGTTATAGGTTTGAGGAACGAAAAGGAAGGGTATGATAGCTTGATGGAGGCTGCGAGCATGGCAGCGAGGAATTTCGATGTGAAAGATCAGCAGATGTTGGTGACCGAGGCTCTTAAGAAGGCTTTCCCTAAACCCATTCTTGGAATGGTGAGCTTAATAATTAATCAAATGTTCTTTTCTTGTTTCCTGTTTCTGACTTAATTAAATATTAGCTAGGCAATGACCTTTCTTGTTTGAGGTTCTTGTTTTGCAAATGCATCTCTAATTAATGAGATTGAAAGCTCTTCCAGTATTAATTAACCTCATGATGGTTAACTTTTTTTCTTTTTAGCCAATTTTTTTTATCACCCTCCTAGTTGCTCAGGTATATGACATTCTCCATGGAAGTGTCTTGTATCCATTCGGTTAAGTTATAATTTGATATATGAAAAATTCCATGAGATGGTTCTCTCACCCCCACCAAAAAAAGAAGGAAGGAAGAAGAAGAAGAAGAAGAAGAAGTTGATGGGGGGGGAGACATAGCTAATTAAAATATCATTTGAGCTCACAACTCAAATTGAATTAACTCAATTTGTATCTTGTATGTATTAGTACTGTAGCCCATGGATGATTGTGTTTTCAATTATTGGGGATAAACTATTCTGAGCATTCTTAACTCCTTATTAAGAATAATTAAAACCGAAATTAAGGCAGATTTATATATTAATTACTAGATGATCATCAAGGATGCGTGTGTTTTCTGAAAAGCTAGCTAAAGATGCTTGGAAGATAAGAAACGATAGAGTCACACTATAAGACACACCACCAACTACACTCCCTCTCTCTCTACAGTGCAGGGGGCCCCACATGTGATTTTTAAAAAAAATCACATGTGGGGCCCCCTGCACTGTAAAGAGAGAGGGAGTGTGGTTGGTGGTGTGTCTTAGAGTGTGACTCTATCGTTTCTTATTTTAAAATTTACAAGAGAAGTTCAATTTTTCTTAGAAATGTGCAATTAACTTTATAGATCGATATATATTTTATTCCTCATCTGTAGTTTGACATATGTACATGTATCCTCTAAGAGAGACGCTACAGGCACACTCTAAGGCACACCACCAACCACACCCCCCTCTCTCTACAGTGCAGGGGGCCCCACATGTGATTTTTTTAAAAAATCACATAAAAAATCACATGTGGGCCCCCCTGCACTGTAGAGAGAGAGGGAGTGTGGTTGGTGGTGTGCCTTAGAGTGTGTCTGTAGCGTCTCTCTGTGGTTGGTGGTGTGCCTTAGAGTGTGCCTGTAGCGTCTCTCTTTTAAAATATAGTGAAGATATGATTATGAATACCGATATGATTACTAAATATCTTTATCAAACATGGTGTGATTATTAATATTTTATACAAATTTTGTCTTGTAGTGAATAAGGTGCTTGGAGTTTAAATCCTATCTATATTAGGATATAAAATCTAATCTCTATAGATTTCAAAGCTATGTTTCAATTTTATATTAAAAGTATCTAGACTTTCTTACTATTAAGAGATGAATGACATCTATTGAGCATTTCCAAGTATCGTTTTGACCTAGGGAAAGCATATAGATCGGACTAGATTTATGCTTAGATGGTTAGATGATAAGTATATTTTGAAACATAATCAAATAGGATAATATTTTTGAGCTATTTTGATTCCATTTTATAAGGTCTAAAGAGTTTAGAACTCTGAAGGGTCCTCACTTGACATGTTTGTTCTTGTAATGTGTGCAAAATGATCTGGCTGACCTATCTAGTAAATAAAACTGTTCGATGAGTTTTGCCTTACATTGCTAACAAAATTGATGAGTCATCACAAATCTCACATTTCCATTTCTATTAGTAAAAAAAAGATAGTTTTGAATTTATAGTCCGCCTTACACAACTAGAATCCAAGTTTTTCTTCCAAAAAAAAAAAGAAAAGAAAAGAAAAGAGGGGCTTGTTACCAAAACTGAAGGCCCAAGGCTCGGGTTGGACCTCAATGTCACCAAAACTGAATTATTCTGGCCCTCCCAGGATCCTAGGAGTTTGCTAGAGGGGCTTTTTCCCTTGGATATCAGTCGGCCTCGTGATGGGGTGAGGCTTTTAGGTGGAGCGGTTAGCATGGAGGAGGAGTTTGTTGGTGGGTTAGCAGCCAAAAGGGTGGCTAAGGCGACTCAGTTAATGGAAGCATTGGACCAACTTAGGGATCCTCAGTGCGAGCTCGTCCTTTTGAGGGCTTGTGCGGGCTTGTCCAAGCTGTATTTTGCCTTGAGGACTTGTCCGCCACAGCTGTTTGCTAAGGCGGCGACTCAGTTTGATATGGCGCTTCGGAGGTCAGTCGAGAGCATAGTCACATCCGAAGGCCCAGGCTTCGGGGATCTCCAATGGAGGCTAGCCACTTTACCTATCAAGGCTGGCGGGCTGGGGGTATACGCAGCGGCCGATGCCATACAGTTTGCTTTTGTGGCCTCACGGATTCACTCCATCGAGCTCCAAGACCACATTTTGAGAGGTTGTGGCGAGGTCTCTTTAGGCGAGCACTTTATTTCCGCCCGGGCCTTTCTTCAGGCTAAGCTACCGGAGGTTGACCTTCTTCAAATCACCACTAAAGGGTCTGTCCCCCCAAAACCAATGCATTACTTGGCAGACACCTTTTTTGGTGGTATTTGTAGAGATCTAGCGACGGAGTGTCAGAGATGTCTTGTATGATATCCTCCGAAGAGCAGGGATCCCATCAAAGAAGGAAGCGCCGGTCAACTTCCTCACCCCTCCTGGAGAGGCTAGATCTACTTTAAGGCCGGCAGACGTCCTTGTCTACAGTTGGAGCGGGGGGAAGCACGCTTGTGTTGATCTCACGGGGGTGTCTCCATTGGTGGGGTTTGGTAATGGAGTGTTCACTGTTGGGCATGCAGCGGATAGAGCGGCAGAGGCGAAGGTGGGCAAACATGATCAAGCTTGCAAGGACAACCAACACAGTTTCATCCCGTTCGCGTTCGATACGTTTGGTTTCCTTGCAGCTGATGCGGTGGAATTCCTCAGGAGGGTACAAAAATTTATGAACAAGAATGTGGCGACGGCGGGATCAGCTGAGTATGTGTTTCGTAGGCTGGGTTTTGCAATACAGAAAGGATTAGCGGCGCAGCTTGTTGCCCGCTTGTCATCATCACACGTGTAATATATGACTTGGATCACACAAATATTTAATGTTTGAAGATAAAGAAAAGAAAAAAACAAAAAAGAAAGAAAGAAAGAATTTGTTCCTCTTTAGATTAAAAATACACAGAGATGGAACCAAATCTAATCAAATTGAACATTGAGGTATTCATATTTACATTTTCTAATTTCTTGGCGTGTAAGCACAAATTAATTAGAATTTAACTTCTTCAACCTAAATTCCAAGTACAAGTTTTTTTTAGTATTCGCTGAACAAAAAAACATGTTTAGTTAATTTATAGTAGGTATAGCTCTCCTCTCATACCTCCATCAAAATTCACGTAATGGGTAAAGCTTGAAGCGCAATACCCTCAATTTATGCATTAGAAAGCCTAGTAAAGTTTGATGTTGACTTGTGCAGATAAGAGCTGTCACACCCCCATCAAAATTTTCAAGGGAATATTTTGCCGCCTTCACCACACTATTTTTTCCATGGTTAGTTGGAAAATGCGAGGTACTTCCGATGCTTTTAAATTTCAATTGATAAACTTGAATATGCTAAGATGTTTTTTATGTAGAATTTATATATGTGTTCTGAAGGCAATATTAATGTTATGCTACAAGGTTAGAGAGTCTGAATTCCACGGAAGAAAAGAAAAGAATGTCGTCTTCATTCCCAAGTGCAGGTACTCATTTAATAAAAGCCGTCCAAATAAATCTAATTTATTTATGGACATCATAAACTTCAACAAAAAATGATTAGAGCATGGGTAACTACAATATCTTTTCTCGTACGATAAATAAATGCAATTTCAAAAGATGACTCCAATTCATCCTCAACTACTTAAACTTGAGAGTGCATATATAGGAAAAATTTGCAAAATAGATCTATTTTGCTAAATATTAGCAAAACAGACCATTTTGCTAAATATTTAGGAAAATAGACTTTTTTTGGCCAACAGGGCAAAACAGAACGATTTTGTTAAATAGACCAATCGAAACATTCGGGATTAGTAGTCCCGTATGATTTAATCCCCCATTAAATCATACAGGACTACTAGTCCCGTATGTTTCGATTGGTCTGTTTTGTAAATCAAAATTTTTTTTGCCTGTTAGTAAAAAAAGGTCTATTTTGCTAAATATTTAGCAAAACGATCTGTTTTACTAAATATTTAGTAAAATAGGTTTATTTTGCAAATTTCTTCGCATATATAATAAGTTTTTCGTTTCTTTTTTTGTTTTTACTACTAAATATGTTAGCAACTTGCAGTTGAAAACGTACCACGAGTCTCAGTGGAGATAAGCGAAGAGTGACTGTAAGTAATTAATTTGTTGAAATTTGGCAGGTTTTTGGAAGGAACCAATTGTGCAGGAATGTGTACTAATCTATGCAAGATTCCATCTCAGAAGTTCATCAAGGACTCACTTGGGATGCCTGTTCACATGTCTCCAAGTAATTTATTTTTTTCTCTCTCTTGCTGAAACAGTATAAGAAAGTAAAATATAATTCCATTATATCTATGGCAAATCCATACGAACATTGTAGATTGATCAATAATCCCAAATATTTTAATAGCAAAGAGGAAAGGAGAGGAAATTTTCTCAAAAGCCTCGGTAGTCTGCTCATTTTGGGATAATCTAAAACGTACAGAAACGTCACTTAAACCTTGATTAAACTTTTGTAGTTTTTGAGTCTATTTTCATAAAAAAATTTAGAGGATGGTGGTCAAGATTTTTGAGATTAAGTGACATTTTCATTTTTAGAGTTATCTCAAAATGGATTAAAATTCTTTAGGGTGGGAGCGGATGGGAAATTTATCCTAAAAGAGAAGGAAAACTCTACAATATGTTTCCTTAGCTAGCTCCTCTTTGTGGATAAAGCCTAGTGAGAAATGCACACTTAAGCTTCGGATGAAACAAATGATAATTCCAGTAATCTGGAACAAGAAGTGAATACTATAATGTCTATGATACATTAACCAACTGACATATTGGTTCATATGTTCTTTTATATGTCTTGTGCTAGGGTTGGGCACGGACCGGTTCGAATCGCGAGCCAAATTGGCCAGTCCGGTTTGAGTCTAAACCCGGCCAAGTACGCGGCCCATACTAGGCCGAGCCCAACCCGACCCATACTAGGCTGAGCCCAACCCGACCCATATATTGGTTGTGGTTCATGGGCCGAGTTGGATTTTAATCTAGATCCGGGACCAAAGGAGTAGGCCTGATCCACTGTAGGCCCGGCCCGGCCCAACCTAGCTCAACCCAGATTTAATTATAAATATTTATTTTTTTTTCGCAAAATATAGATGGCCCTCAGGCAGCTAGGCATTTCTTCAAATTCTGAAGTATGTATATCTATGTGTTTAAAATATTTTTTTGTGTGGTGTTTATCTTTGTAAAGTTCTGAACTATGTATATCTTTGAGTTTAAGATGTTTTTCTATGTGATGTTTATCTTCGTAAAATGTGTGTGTATAAAGAGTTTGAAACAGGAAAAAATAAATTAAACATAATTTTACAGATATTAATACAAGTATAGTTTAGAAATGAAAAAAATAAAATAAAGTAGTAAAAAAACTCATGGGTCGACTCACGACCCATGGGCCATGAGCCGGGCTTAGCCTGGACCGCCCCTAGGCAGGTTGTAGGCCAATCTGAGTCCAAACTCAGATCAGGGATCAGAAAAGTAGACCCCTCACACATTTTGACCAATTCTATATGGCACTCCAATATACTATAAATCCCAAATATTTTCCCGATATTTGCAACGTCATATCTGCAACATGATGTGGATTTTTACTGTTTAATATTTTTTAATCCGATATTTGAAATCTTGATTGTATAGAAGTCATAGTGTCAAATTTTTCTTGCATATATAACATAAGTAAATCCATGATAAAAACTAGCAGAAGGACCAAGCTGTTCGTAGAAACTATAAAGTTGTGAACAGATTAAGAACATTAAACATGGAAGGGCCAACTTGAAAAGTTTAAATTGGAGGATGTTGGGGGTCACAAGGAAACCACTATGTAGGTAACAAGATTGAAACAATTGAGACCCTTGAATTTTTATAATATTTATGTATATTCACATCACCTCTCAAATTAAGCACATAAACCGCAATAGAAAACACTATGGCCTCTCCCCTTGTGTCACAACGGACGGAGGCATTTAGCAGTGGCCATTGTTTCATTCAACAAATTTCCTATGCATGTCTTCCACTTAAATTCATGCCTTCCAAATTTTTCGTATCTCACTCATTACAAGCACTTCGGTGGCATTATTGACCAAACCTAGATACTTGCCAATAACAAAATAAATAAAAGATTGAAGTTTCATTCCATTAGAGAAAGAAAAGGGTTAGGGTAAATTACACTAAACCACAAGAACTTTCAATATTGTGGAGTAAACAATAACTTTCAATATCATACTAAACAGCCATTAACTTTTGCACAAACCCCCCGATATCTTTTGGGTAAATTACACTAAATCCCCAATAACTTTCAAAATATACTTTTATGTTGTTTTTTGTTTCTATTTCATTGGAAATGCAAAACATTGAAAGTTCTTGGGGGCTTAGTGTAATTTATCCAAAGTGCTAATTGAACACACCCCCAGTAACTTTCAAAATATCTTTTTGTGTTGTTTTTTGGTTCTAATTTATGGGTGCTTACCGCAAAACATTAAAAGTTCTTGCCGAGAGGGTCAATTGAACATACACCACTTTGTATCTTTACTGTTTTGAACTTACTACCCTTACAGTTTCATTGTTGTAGATTCACCTCCTGGGTTAGTTTTCGACTCATAGACTAACTAATTTTACCCTGGGATAATATCTTCAAAAAAACCAAGGGTCTATCTACATTGTGTAATTAACTCAAAAATAAAATAAAATATGGTAACTCTAGCATAGAATTGCTAAATTGCTGTAAATTTCAGATTTTGAAGACATGAGTTGCGAGATGATCTTCGGGCAGGAGCCACCTAAAGACGACCCAGCATTGAAGCAACCTTGCTATACGAAATTATGTATGATTTCAGTACTGTATATAGAACTAGACATTAGTCCACAACATGATCAACATAGTTCTTAATTTTCATTCTTTAACTAATTTTATTGCTTCTCTGATTCATTAATGCAGGCGTAGCGAAGCAAACACATGGAGTGACTTGCTCCAGCTGATAGATATTATACACGTACACATTTACCCTTACCTACTTAAAATAAAATATAATATTGTGTTTTAAGATGTTCTAGACCAATTCTTACCTAAGATCGTGATCAAATATTTGTCCCCTTCTTTTAATTCTCCTTTTCTTTTCTTTATACTGTTATCGACCCATCATAAAGCCAAATATTCCTGGAGACATTTTAATGATGATGTATTAATCCTATATTTATTTGTATTCCTATGTTTTGCCCATTTTTTTGGTCCATTTTTTTTCCTATTAGGTTACCAATTACATTTTTTTGGTCCATTTTTTTTCCTATTAGGTTACCAATTACTAGATTATCTCCCCTAGGCAAGGATTCTCTGTATTCTTCATCGTAAAGAGCCGCTACAATTGGCTACATGGATTAAAAGATATTTTTACATAATTTAAATCAGGGTCGGCCTCGAGGTTTGGTTTTTCCTAGCCCAATCCAATTTTGGTTGCCCATTATATTAAAAATTTGGTACGAACAATAACGACAAAAATGAATACATATAATACCATTTAGCGTTCTATATTGGGCTCAAACTGATAATATTCTCTTGCAAAATCAAAATTCATATAAGAAAAGATTATATTTGTGCTACAATTTAATTCAAAGAAAAATACTTCACGAATTTTTTTGAAGTGAATTCTTTAATTAAGTCATCATACTCGAGTTTCTCCAAGTATTTATTTTTAATTGATATCATTGCCAATCCATTCAATCAATCCTGTGGCATGGTAGTGCGAAGATAACATATTTGAAATCACAATCAACTAAACTAATGCCGGAACAAAGACTTAGCAATATCATTATTATTAAAACAATCAAACAATTAATCTAGATAGCAATCCAATAATATGAATGTCATCAAACCAAAGTTAAATTGAGATTATAATTAAAACCAAATAGAAATATGTCATATTATCGTCGATTAGGATATTCGAGTTTTAGATGACTAGAAGGGAGATGAACTTTTTTAACAAGTAAACATTATTTCCTCTTTCTATCTTTCAACTGTGATAAGCTTCTTTTAAACTTATGGAGACTGTGAGAAACTAGTCAGAAGGCATAATTGTGTCACCCAAATAGCTAAATGAAATCTAATTTCCAGTTTCAAAACAAAAACCTAGACGAAACCGCCCAAACATCATAACCCCTAGTTCAACAACTAATATTCATCCAAAATTCAAAATCGGAAATCTTAATTTCATTACAAAACATCAAAACCCCAAATTTCCGTCCAAAAAAACCTAAAATTATTTATTTAAAAAAATTACCTGATTGTGTTTCTTCTATGGACCGATCGGTCGTCGGCGTCGATAAGTCGATTCAGATTCTCTCCGTCTTTTGGGTGACTAGATCGGACCGTCGGAGGAGGAGTTGTCGAGGTGATCCAAAGGACAGGAGCAGAGACGGGAAGGAGGAGACAGGAAGGAGGACTTGGAGGTTGACGGAACAGAAACGACGGAACAAAGTGGTGTCTCAGTCGATTCGGATTCTCTCTGTTTTTTTTTTCTTTTTTTTGTGAGCGGCGGAACAGAGACGCGAGGAGGAGAGGAGGCTGACAGAAATAAATGAGGAGTTGGGTAGGGCTTTGGGTACTAATAAGAGTTTTTTACTAATAGAACCCCTAACAATTTTTGTATAAAAGTCCTCTTACAAAGTCCACTTCGAAAATTATTACGGTTTGAGGGGTGAATGATGTAATCGTGATGGTTGCCACCCCCCTCTCCCCGGCCCTAGGTTACCCCAGCCCCGGGGCTTGGTGGGCTTACCCCAGGGCCGGTTAAAATTTAAATAAAGAATATAGATTACTCCTATCTAGGTTAGCTGTAAGAAGTGCAAGTTGTCAGAGCAAGTGCAGCAATCTCCTAGTAGGGAGCTCTTGTTGGAGTGCTCTCAAGCATGGGGCCCACTTAGGAACTTCATACTAGGAAAAATATTCCAACAAACTCCTAACTAGGAGCATAAATATTATTTAAAAAATCTATTCTTCTATCTCTAACATTTTATAAATATTTTTTAAAACAACAAATCTAATAAAAAATATTTTTTAGTGAGCCCCACCCCTTAGGAGCTCCCAAGTGCTCCACAAATTTGTGGAGCTCTTAGGAGCTCCATGGTGGACCACACCGCCAACTAGGATTTGAGAGCTTCCTTGGGAGCTTGTTGGAAGGTCTTGAGAGCTTTTTCTTGCCACATAGGACTTAGGAGCTTTCTTGAGAGGCTCCTGCACTTGCTCTCATAGATTACTCCTAGCTAGGCTAGCTGTAGCCTGTAGGTTGAAGGAAAAAATAGGCCCAAATGGTACAATGCAAGCTCATATATATTAGAGCCCATTCAACAGAAAAGGGTCCAAGATGTAGCATTTTATTTTTATTTTTGGGAAATTTATGAGTCTTTCAAAGCCGAGTGCACATCTCGTTAGAACCAGGCATATAGGTGATTTTATTTGGGGCTTCGAATGAGCGACGCGTGTACAAATTGGTACGAATCGTAACTGACTGGGCTAACTCACTTCTTCCCCTCGATCGTTTTCCAGCTTCTCTCATGCCCTCCCCCACCCCCAAAAAAAAAAAAAAAAAATTTAAGCAGCAGTCAAAAATTAAACTTTGAGATGTATAGACTTCAGTCTCTTAGTCTCATATAGATCTAGAGATCAATGTTGGATTTAAATCTAATTAATCTATTTGTGAGCACATATGTTATATCATTGTGTAATGCTATCCTTAAGGATAACCTACATAAAGTGATCAATCAATTTGGGTTAATGAGTATTTAAATATGTCATGGGTTAAATGTGCAGATAAAGGTTGTAACTATAATTTGTTGAGGGGCCAAATTATAAATGTACAACACCTATATATATGGAGTTATGGTTCCTAATCTAGGGTTAACACACTCAATTCTTTTATCCCCATCTAAAGAGATACTAAAGGAGAAACCCTAAGATTAGAAGATCATAAAACTCTAATTCAGATCCAAACAATGGATTCAGGTATAGCTTCCGCTCTTATTGATGTTTAATCTCTATGATTTAATCACGATTAAGTCCAACAAGTGGTATCAGAGCCACAGTGATTACTTCTTAGGGGTTTAAAATTTAAAATTGGGTTTTTGATCTTAATCCGTGGATTATTAAGAACTGTTCACGGATGAGTAGTAAAAAGTTCATTTTTTTGTTTGTTTTTTTTTTCTTTCGTTTTTTGGGATATGCTGCACTCATGAACTGTAAAGTTTATCTTTTTTAGGGTTTGATTATTTTTCGGATGTTTGGATCTGAAATGGATTCAGATTCAGATCAAGTGTGTGCAAAATATCAATTTTTCGGATCTGGATTGAGTTCAAAATCGACAAAAAAATGGTTTTTTTTTGTTTTTGGTTTGTCGTCGTTCTCCAACTCCTCGCCGGAGTTTTATCGACGGCGGCCCCCCTATCAAATGAAGACAGTGGCGGCGGCTGTTTTCAGAACAAAACCCTAAGGGGTGTTAGTTGCTACAGCCCAAATGGTGACGGCGTTTCAGATCTAAACCCTAAGGGGTGAAAGAAATTGGGGCTTGAGGGCTTACCTGAGGTATTTGATCGAGGTTCGAACTTCAGACGAACTTTGGTTCGATTCTAGCGAACTTCGGTTTGCTTCCGACGAACCTCGTGTTTGATTCAGCTTTGTTGAAGGCTTCTGACGAACTTCGGTTCTATTCCAACGAACTTTTTGCTTCTGTCGAACCTCGTGTTCCAAGTTTCAGTCGAACCTCGTGTTCGAAACTTCAGTCAAACCTCGTGTTTAAAACTTTAGTTGAACCTCGTGTTCGAAGCTTCAGTCGACATTCGGATCTCGAAGTTCAGTCGAACCTCGTGTTCGGTCTTAGGTGAACCTCATGTTCAACTCAAGAGAGCTTCGGCTCGACTCAGGAAAAGCTCGATCTGTTGAAGGAAAGCTCAAAGAGCCTTATTTCAGGTGTGCCTCATGCTCATTCTCAGGCGAGCTTCAAGGTTAAGTCCCGATCTTGAAGGTGAGCTCGATCCTTGAGCCTCAGATGAGAGCTTTGGCTTTCGTAATTTTTTGGGCGAGCTCAAATCTCATCAGGTAGAAGCTGAAGATGAGCTTCAGTTTCTTCTTTGGGTTAGGGCACAATTAAGGAATTGAGAGAATGCATTTCTTCTTTAAGTCAAAAGTCCACTTAAGGTCTTTTGGTTCTGGGCCTGCAATCAATTCATTTCGGGCGTGTGCAGTTAAGAAGAAATGATTTGGGCCAAAGCCCATGTAAATTTCTTTTACTAATTTGGGACTTTTCTAAGCTTGATTTAAAAGCTTATGGGCCCTATTAAGCTATGGAAATTGTTTAATTTAAATTAAATTAAATCTTGTAGTTAATCAAATATTTAATTCAAATAATATGACACTAAGGTATTATATTTGTCTCTCATTCCGAATGATTAATTAAAACAAGATGTTGTCAAAGTAATCTCTCTTGTATAAGTTATTCATGAGGGTTGTTAGATGGTTGTGTGTATATTTTCGTGTAAATATTTAACCGGCCTAAAGAAAGGTTAATATTTATTTAGACTGCAAACACATCTGTGATGATAAACGTGTGACAACTATAAGGTTTACATGTGAATAATGAATCGATCCAAAGATAGTTTTATTTTTTAACATGAGTTATTGCCAGTGTTTGATCATTGTAACAAGGTATCACTTACAAATTAATATTACTATCTTAAGACTTGATATTAATGTTGTGCCAAATATCTTAAGATGGGATTTGTCATTATTTAAAATTTATTAATTACTAATTACAGTTAATAATATGAGTATCTTTTATTTATTTCAACTAATGTATCTGTTGCCATAATTTCTGCTACATCAACTCAATTTCCATGCTCAATGAGATAAATTTTAAGGTTTGAAAATAGAATATATTAATTGTTCTTGACTGTATAGATCTAGACCTTACATTAAGAACTGAACAACCCCAACCTCTCAATGCAGATAGCACTCCTAATGTTAAGAAGGAGTATGAGAAATGGGAGCGTTCAAATCACATGAGTCTTATGATCATTAAGCGCGACGTTCCGGAAGTCTTCAGGGGCATAGAATCTGAAGGGATTACTAAGGCCAAAGATTTCCTTGTCGAAATTTAGAAGCGTTTTACGAAAAATGATAAGGTAGAAAC